AAAAACCCCCCCCCCCCCCCCCCCTAAAAAATGAAAAGGCCCAAGAACGAACATTCCCATTGAATGCATTAACGAATAAATGCGCGAGTGTACAAGTGCTCGAGTGCTGGTAGAAGTGTTCTACGATTACAAGAGACTCGAGAAATGAGAGAATTTCCTATGTAATCCAAAAATAAATCTTAAGATCATGTACGTGTATGCGCGTTAATCATCAACTGTTGGGACTTTTTCTACGACTCCTGAGATCTCTTCTCTGTCACGCAATTCCTTCCAATATTCCAGGTAATGTGTTTTTGTAAAGGCACAAGAAATGAGTGATCAATGAAAAACTCCCAAGACAGTCGGGAGAGTCTGAAAGTAACGAGACCGATGATCGATGATCGATGATCGACAATTGACGCGAAACGTGGAAATCTATCAAGATAAAAATCAAACTAATTATTCAATGGTCCAAATCTCTATTGCGTGATCACTTCTCTGCTTGACCTGATCAATCGATTTCGTCATTCGGCATGAAAAATCTCGTGCCGAGTTAAAAGAAAAGAATGTCCTGTCACATTGCGAATCGTCGACATAAAGTCTCAGAACTTTTGGTCCCTCGGGAGGACTCGAACTAGTATATACATAGATAGATAGAAAGATGGAAGTGGAAGGGATGAGTCCAGCCTTGACGGGAGCTGCTACCCTCTTCTCTTCGAGTCACTGATTCTCACTGGATCAGCGTGAATCGCTTGTAAATAGTAGGGATAAAAATGAAAGAGAACCTAACTAAACCTAAGGATGCCCTAGAGTTAGCTCAACGAGATACAATGTTATTATAGCTGTCGACACATCCGGCGGAAACGTCGGAGGAAGGATCATCGATTTTATGTTTGCCGATAACGAAATGATTTTCAAAGATTCGCATTCCGGCATCTTCCTTTTCTTTTTTTATTTTTCATTTCATTTCGTCCATACGTAGCGTTTAGATAGGCGAATATATTATTAAGTGTTTCATCTAGCCTACGATGTATATTGTATCTATAATCATGAATAAATTATCAACGGTACAATACGATTAAAAAATCAAGCGAGTACAAATATTCCAGTGTCATTCCTTACTTTTTAAATGTCGTCACTCCTACGAATCTTCTTATCGTATCAGTGAATTTACTCGGTTACGAGTAAAAACAAAAATATCAGTATAATCAATCAAGCTTTTTAATAGAACGCTCAGAAGATGTAACGGGACGTCGCGTAATTCCGTGTCGAATCCGCCCACGATCGCAGCTCCAACCTAATTTAATCAACTTGCCCAAATTTCCAAACAGATCAATTTACTGGAGGATACTCTCAAGGAAGGATCATTCGAAGTTAACTACCCTCGAAGAATCAGTGTTTAGGAATCGATGAACTCTCGCTTGAGCCCTTCGCTCCCCATCCTGATACTTCTGGTCGTTCGCTAGTCGGATTTATGTCTCAGGATGTTTTGTGACCCTCTCCAGTCGCTTTTTATTAAGAAGATATGAAGGAAAGAGGCGACTCGGTAAGATAAGACGAGAGAAAACAACCTGGATCTCTTTCGCACATCAGGATCCTGGCTGGAAAACTGGGTCGCCCGGGTTGTATCTTTATAATAGACCTGACTCCCAACCGTTAAGATGGTTATAAACCGAACTGTAGAATTCACTGTTAATCGACAAGTATTTTACAGAAACATCCCATATCTCGCACATACCTCTACGCCAACTGAACTTCGTCATCTTGTGGAAGCAGCAATGAATTTACAAGAGTTCGTACGTATTAAATCTCAAAAAAACTAAAACAGCCCAGACTTCATCTCAAATAATTAAAATTAATTTCCCCTCTCTACTCTCCGCCCGTATTGATAATACATTCCAAAACTCTGTCTTCAAGTTCTAAACGAAGACTCCTTACGCCATGTATTTCATTGCCATATGTTACAGGATAATCGGGGGGTCACTACCAAATCTGGATCGCACCCTATTCAACTATAGCAATACTTTTTCATGTGAGCCCATAGAAATTTGCAAGTCGAACAACCAAACCAGGTGTCAAATCAGGTAGTGAAATGGATTCCGTTGTGTAATCTAATTTCAATGAAGGTTAACTCGAGAGTTCATTTCTTGACATCTGGCGGACGTTAAAAAATGGATACATTAGCGTACTTTACTCTTGTTCAGGAATCGGTAGGTATAGGTAGGCAGGGAGGTAGGTTGTAGGTGGATGGTGGGTGAGAGTGCCTGGCGCAGCGCGCGCTTTCTGTGGTATTGATTACAGCCTCCTAGCCAGGTGCACAAGCAGGGTCAACTCTGGCTATCTCCCTTACCCTTTCCTGTTCCCCAGATACTCTCACTCTCTCCTCTTCGTTTACTCTTTCCTCATTCTACAGCTCTCCAGAGTCTCTCTACGTCTCCTCATCCAGCTGGTCCATCGTTCAGCAAAAACCTGCTCTTCCTGCACAACCCCTGACTGGTTCATGTGGCCTAGCACCCTTCGTTACGAATCACCTGAGCCTAAGCACCCACACGCTACTACAAGAACACACGCGCTCTATACTTTTGACACCGTGTGGCCTTGACCAGGACATCTACCTCCTTCCAGTGAGACTGACTTGTCCGATGATCCCTGCCAACTCATGATCATTACGAGGATGATCCTCCGTTGTGGGGGGATATCATGTTCGAGACATTAATGAATACAGAATATAGAAGCTTCAGCGTAATACGATCTTTTACAAAGAAGGGGAGTTTTTTTTAATATTAAAACCGAAAATTTCAGTTTAATATTAAAGGCAAATTTCATATCGAAGGACCAGGTAAACATTAAAAAAAAATTCAATGTTGCTTTTACGTATAAATCTAAAATTTTGCGTGGAATAAGATCATTCTTGGTTGAACTTTGAAGTTACTGAAAGTTAGTCGATTTTTATTATTGCACCTTTCCAAACACAATATACTGGATGTTGGGTAAAACGGTCCTGCTGGAAAGCAAAGTCGAAATTGGCTACATATTTCCATTTACGATAGCAGCTGATGCCAGACCTGCAGGAAACGTGAAAACATCCTATCGAAGAAAAACGATAGTCTTACGACTAGATTAAGCCAAGATGCTTCGTACACGTACAGCCACCATACTGTATGTACCGCCACTGTATTACAGCTGTTGCACGATTCGATATCACATCGTGTCAGTGGACATCTATACTGTCTACCTCCAATTCAATAACTTAACTTAACTAGTAGTTATGCCAATGCTCTCGGAAGATTTCGTTATGGTTCAGTTGAGGTCTAGGTGCTTGAATCTACCGTGGGCAGATAGTCGAGTTGCCCAGTAGAGGAGAGTACCCGACGGAGACGATTCCACGGACCGGCAGAAGCCCGGGTGAGATACCGGCGTCCCATTGGAGATGGGCAAGGGGCTGTAGAACGGGCGGAGTTATGGTTTTGATACGGTTAAGGGTAGAGAAGGACCCCCTGCCCGAGTTAAAGATGGGGTGCCCAGCTGTCGCCCGATGCTCTCGGGAAGCAGCCGTGGAGGATTTTCAAAATGACCTACCTATCCGCTAAAACGCTCTGAATTTGGTTTAAAGGGACGACTCGAGAGAAAGGGAAGAGTTATCGGTTATAAGGCTCTCGACCAATCAGAATGATTGTAGTTCTCAAATTTGGCTATTGTCAAAACAGTCCTTGTCGGAGCACCGACCGAGGTGTCAAACTGGTTCGCGCTCCCGTGCTATCGGTTGATAGTTTTTCTTGCCGTGTTTCGCTACGGTATAGCAAGTTCTCGATTCGTACAGTTCTCGCGTTGTTCTCGCGATATCCAGGCAATTCTATGAATTCCTGTGAGTGTTCCGGAGGTGTAGTGCAGTGCTTTAGTGCAGTGTCCACCAGAGTGTCCTTGGGATACAGTTCTCGGCCTCCACGGATTAGCTGTACCAGCTCCGGTGAGTCTCCCAATTTATTAATTGGTCAAGGGATTTCGATTTGATAATTCAGATTCGTTCTGTTACGTTCTCGATTCGTCGCTCTCTGTCTCTCGCACTATTTGCCTGACTCTTACTCCGACCCTCTCGACCTCAACTTAGCAGCCTGAGCAATCGTGCATTTCCGTAACCGTCCGCTCCCGGATTTTATATGTTCTTCTCATATCAAACTTCGTTGATAATGTTTAAATTTTTTATGATATATGAAAGATATATTATGATATATCTATATAAACCGGCAAAAAATCATATATGTCATTATACGTCAACATATATTTTTTAAATATAAATTTTTTCTAAGTGCGTTACTGTCGCAGTTATGGATTACATACAGTATATATATATATAAATTATCAAAGTCCAAAAAGTATTCACCTGTCTCACTGTTTCATTCTCATATTTTCATTATCACTCTCTCTTTCTATATCTATCTATCTATCTGTATCTCTATCTCTATGATACTTTCCTTCTTCATCCCACCCACAGGAGTTTCGTTTAAATATTAATGTATAGCTTGGCCATTCCTGGATATTTAATGGCCACTTTACGAAACAACCAGTCTCTGCACTCTACCTGAGTTTTGAAGAAAATCGATGAAAGCTCTTTCACACCTCCATCGAAGCAAGGTCTTTCTTTTACTGAAGGATTTCCAAGTTCCAATCCTTTCAAGGTTTCTTAGGGACTCAGTTTTCAGTTTCTACACTCTCTCAGCATTCTTTCTTTATCAAGGACTCTGTAGTTCCATTGTTAGTTCAGCCAGTAAGTAGAGTTCAGGATTAAAAATCGACATTGCGGTAGATCTTATTGGAATTTCCTTAATTTTTTTGTTAGCGAAAAGCCCACACACACACACGCGTTTCTCTTTCCTCATGTGCTGGAGGATTTCTGACAGAATTCATTGTCCAGCCGAGACTCGTGTATCCAAAGAATATTAAATGAAATTTTTTGATGGCACAACACCATTCGCTTGGAATAGGTGGACGGGAGTAGCATATTTGATTAGTGTCTGACCAATCCACCCACGTGAAGTACATAGCAACACATGTAAATTTAGGACAGTAGCTTTGACACGCGAGTGGCTTACCATCTGTATATTTAATCATTTGACCGTGTGCCTCTAGCTGGTTTATAGAGGAGAGCGAATACTGGAGTTGAATCCTGACCTATCTTGTAAAGCTCAAGAGTTCATTCCATTCGTAACGCTCCTCAAATATTCACCTATCTCCCCTTACCCCTTATCAGTCAAGCCTAATGTACGCAACAACCCTCCAATTGGCCTGTACTTTCATCCCTGTATTTTCCTACAGTTTCACCCCACAGATCCCTTTCCTCCATTCCCTTATTCGTCCTCCCTTGGATTTCACATCCACCTTCTAATTCCAGGGATTCCGATTAACCATCTCTAATACAGAAGTAAAATGACTTTGTGTCTATATTGGGCAACGTAAAAGGATATTGCGTGTCCCATTGGGACAGTTCTCTGCTCGGGTAGCACATGGTAAAAGTCGTTAGTCGCGAGACTCAGTATCGACAGGCGTCGATCTGTCTTTGCGGTTTGCGTCCAATCTGTTGCACTTCCTGCGACTGACCGAAGGACCCCATTAGTCTGATGACTAAAGAGAAAATCAATAACCGTCCAGGTTAATTTGGACTTTCAAATGCGCCAGTTAGTACTCCACGTGTCACAGTTTTCAATGCTTACTGCATCCAAGAAAGGTGTCCGTATGAAGTACCTTACGACAGCTAGTAGAGACGTGGACGTCGCGACGTTCCAGGCACTTTCCAAGCTCATCCTGAAAGAGAACAGAACCATCAGCGAGAGGCAAGCTGTGAGATGAATCGAAATTCAGGAGGAGACGAGAGGAGAGGGACAACACCTCCTGGGAGATGTTAAGAATATTTGACAACACGTGTCCCAGGAGGACCATTCGCTGGCAAACCTCCTGCAGATATGCATATCGCGAGTCTCCTCTCAGATTCCGCAATCCGCATATCTCCACAATGACATATATTGCGACTCTCGCATGACGTATGCAGCAATATGACGCAAGCACGGACTATCGAGTACCTAGGGACCAAATAAGAAAAATATCCCATCGACGGAGCAGCATATGGAATCATTGATGTGGAACAGAAACGCGAGAGAGTCCAATTTCCTGGCATGTGTCAGATGGAAAAACAAAGCTAAAGAATAAGACGATGCGATGGGACGCAGAAAGTTTATCATATCACCAAGGCGTCGCGATGCTTGCCGAAAATTTCAGTAGGCTGGGTTATCCTGAATTATTCATGCTGCAGCTTGAAGACTCTGTGTACCTACAGGCGGAGTTAACGAAGGACCTAAAGTACTAAAAGGAAAATATTTTCATCTCATTGATATTGTCACGCGAAACTGCCTGAGCAGGAAGAACCGACGGAACTGGGTGGTTCGAATTCGTTAGCTAGTCTAGTCTCTATGCTTCCCGTATCCTTCCTCCGGGGGTTCTCTTCGTTCTGGGTCATCGTCATCCCTTCGTCAATCCCTTCACTATCCTCTTATCGGAATAATCCTCAAGTCCCCTTCCGGAGTCTGGAGGATGGAGGCATTTGTTTTTATTTCGAATGAATGTCCTCGTGAATCCACACCTCCTGCTCGTTTCATCATCGATCGAAAATGGCAGCCTGGTTCGAAATTATTTTCCCGGGTCTTGATAAGAGCCATGCTCCTATCAGTTATATCAGTGTCATTAGTTCCTGTACGTGTTGCCGTATAGGTAGCTGCGTGGCTGTCCAATAAAAGAGCAAGAACGTAATGGATAATGGTCATATTGGGACATTAAGGGTAGATTATCGTCCCTCGTTCAAAACCGGACGTCTCGACTCCATCCTCTAGCTCTGGTCTATGCACTTCATCCTGCAGGGTGCAATTTAACGCGATAAGGACTCGTGGCAGCCACGTTCCAGAAATAACCAGACGGCAAGTCGGACATTAGAGCGTCGAGGGTTCTAAGGGAAATTAGCTAACTTGAGACAGTAACAGAATGGCGTGGAGCCAGATATCAGAAAGACCCCAAGTTGTTATGTTCTCACTGCGCTTTCTGGCTGGCATGTGCGCTTCACTCCAGCAACTTCCAAAGTCACTTAACAAAATTTACATTTACCGTTCTAAGATTATCATTTGCTAACTGTGACTCGTTACGAGAAGACTCCTCTTCGCTGAATGTTTCCTTCCCTATCACGTCTGTTACGAGCCATTCCGCCCCCTAGATACCAACCCCGATACAAACCTACGTCAGTTTAGGTTACAGCCATAGTCGGGTAGCAGAGGTTACCAAAAATCGATCCTCTTTTTCTTCCTCTCCTGTCAAATTAACGTCATTCCTTTGAGCATCATACGGACACGCTGTAACGTACGAGAGGACTCGCTGATATGAGAGTCCCTTAATGTCCCAAGATTTTGCCATTACGTCCATTTTGAGGCTCGTCTTGACGAAGGGTTTGTCCTCTGCAAATACCAACAGGATCAATGAGGATATATAGCGACTTCGGACTGCAGGCGATACTAGGTACAACTGTAGAGGCAAGTAAAGGTCGTAAACCATAATGCAATTTCGAAGTTCGCACTAGCGCCAAACTTTTATTACCGAGCTAGAAGTGAGAGAGGCTGATTAGCCTCGTAAATCACTAATCCTTAGGACAAGAGCCAGCATCCTTCCGAGCTGAAGGAACATCCAAATTCTGCACTCTAGTTTCGGTAGTAATTTCAACGCTTTAAACCGAAAGCACACGCTGCGCCCCTTTTTCCCCATGAACCGATGCGCAATCGACATTTTTATACTATCTATGAAATACGGTTATCTTCGTGCTGGTTATGTAGTACATATATAGCTGTATATCCGATATACTAGGCGCGTCCAGATCGAATTGAATATTAAGTATTTATAAATGGCGTTCGGTAAATCTTGAGAGAAGGCTGCCAGTGACCGCTGTGGTGAATTATCTGGAATGATATTCCTACCAGCACGTTCCCGACCCACACAACGATCTGGTATAAACCGGGACGCTCCACTTCGCATGGCAGACATATTTTTGAAAGGGCTCCACCGTTTTTACCTCCGACAGAGATTTATATTGGCCAGGGTTACCGTAGCTGATATAGGCGTAGCCATCTGTGCGTACGTATGAAGGATTTCTACGTATACGTATGTGAAACTGAGGGGATGGACATTGACAAATTTTATCAGTTCTGCAAGGGATACTTCTTGTAAAATGGTTTTGAGAATTTACCAGGAATATGGAAATATTTGATAGCAGATAAGTACCTAAACTACGCTTAGCCTCCGTTAATAACAGCTAATTAGTGATTGAATGGAAATTCAACTGGCATATTTACTCATGTGTATCGAAAAAATTGGACGGTCGATTAATATTACGAAAAAGTTACAATAATCGTTTGAGACTTATCCATTGTTCGTGAAATGACTAGAAAAAAGATGGTATGTAACTATGAGTAAATTTGCGGTTATAAGAGATATGAAATATTAAATCAGTCTCAACTGTAACCTTAAGGAATTAATTTTAGTAATATAACTAAATTAGTTGACTGATTAAATTGTTGAATGAGTAATGAAGAAAGGAGCATCCAGCTTATTAAATTACTAATGAAATAACAATGAACGAGTGTCAAGAAAATTCAGAAAAATGAATCCTATATCAGATATTCGATCCTCGCAGAACAAAGTTCTCATTATTTCAGATATCCTATTTCGCGAAATTGGATACGAAGACATTTCACGTTTACTAAAACAAATCGTATATCTGAAGACTAAAAGCTAACTCAACACGCCGACTCTAATTATGAAATTTAATGAAATATTCCAGTACCGGCTTATTCTCTGTTTGTTCCTATATCCCAATCTTTACAAGAAGATACAATATTTACCTATTTTAAATTAATGTAAATTTTTTTTAATTTCCTTAAATCAGACACACTAACGCATCCCCCCTACTCTGTATGGGTGAATTCAATAAAATAATACATCACGTTAATAATCTCCATCCATCATTATTTGTCAGTGTTGTCTAACTCAGGTTTATAAACCCGTATTTGCAGGTATCTACTTTACCGAGAATGTACTGGGTACTTTTAATGCGTTCGCGCTTCAGCGATTATTCACGCGACAGCAGGTAACAGTGTATTCGCAGTCTCTATCGACGCCATTGGCACAGCCTTCACATGCAATGTACCCTTCTCGCCCAATACCGCAGAATGATATTTACGAGCCTTAGTTCTATGTAGACCTAGTGGCAATTGCACCGAAACCGACCGGAACCGAATTGAAGTAAACGCAAATGAGCAACGTGTAGGAAGGAGAAGGGAAAAAGGCTCTAGCGGTCAAACTTGCAACTAAAAGTTGGCGCAGTTGCAACACGCGTTCACCGCTCGATAATGTCGCTTCATTAAAGCTCATCCAAAGGATGAAGTTAACATTGCCTTTCTGTGAATGGAAACCCAATGGAAATGCTTCTTGCTGCACATTGACCTACAACCTGCCTGTACATACTGCGTAAAGTACATGTTTCGTGTACTTGTACCTATATTATTCTGTGTAACTGCACCTGATGTCTGGATACGGTTGCGAGCCGGACGGAAATTGCAACAATCTGTAGGTTCGATTAACGTGTGTTGAGTTTCCAGAGAGCAGGGAATGGCCGCTACCACGTTATAGCCAAGGGGCTAATGCGGAAATACGCTACCCGTAGGTATAACACTTCTAAGGACATACATATATCCTTTGATTGCATCTTCTCTCAGGACGATCGTTGTCCTACTTTGAACGATAGTCATTTGTCTCCAACTCTGCAGTCTCTACGTCGACACTCACTCCATCTCAAGACGAGATTACTTGGTAAAAATTACGCAAACTTGTGACTTTATCTTACCATCCAGTGATAAGTTAACTTCCTGCACTTTAATCCCCTGTTAACTTTTAAATTAGCTCAGACGTTGCGACCAGAAAGAATAAGAAGGACTTGGGATGTAGAAGGTGTAGAGAAAACTTTTTTTTTCTTCTAGAAATAAGGTAAAACATTGTTTTTCAATAAAGTACACGTGCGTATTATAGCTAACTGGTGCCAGACCTGTTACATATGATCTGTAGTCTTATAATGAGCTGCAATAGGTGAACAGAGCCACTACAAGGATAAGTATCTGGTTTCCCTCGGAAAATTTAGAGCGATGCTGGAAAATTTTCGAAGGATATACGGTTTTCCGAGTTTCTCCTCTAACGAGAACCCTTTAGGGGTTACGCGTTCTACCCTCGCAGCAAGTTGGCCGGGTTACCCCAGACGCATGCTGCGTGCCGCTCAGGACTCGGGACACATCCCATCGCTCGTCGAATCTCAAGCTTATGGAGTCGAGGCCGTTAAAGGATTTTTCCCATGCTCAGTGCGTAATATATAGTTGTGGATTTTTTTTCGATTTTTCATCAATCTTCCACAACTTCCTTTATCTTAATTATTATTGTGCACATGGTGGAATATTCTCATAATGAAGATATCAATGTCTGGACACGTAAACTAAAGCGACGTGCATTTTGCGATATCGCAGTTTCAAACAAGCATACCTTTATCACACTGCTGTTCATTATCAATATCTAGGAATTCCTTTGTCTCGCAATTTCACCTGTTTCTTAGTTATATACCTGACTAGCAACTCAAGTAAACGGATATATACATGTATGCAGCAGACTATTCCCTTTGTAACTCAACAAGCCTGAAATATGTTCGTAAGATACCTATATTCGCGAAGGGTTGACGGTTGGGTTAGGTCGATAATATAGCGTAATACATTTCATGGGTGAAAAGTGGAAAATGAGCAAGTGGAAGTTTTGTTTTGTCTACCTATGAAAATAGGAAATACAGTGATAGAGATTAGTTGGAGATAGAGAGAGAAAGAGACAGGGAGTACGAATGCGACAGCGACAGCAAAGAAATTGATTGCTCTAGACCACTCTAGACGCAAAGGAGACTGAGAATCTTATTAGTTATTTAACTGCATAAAGTTCTAGAAGTTTCATTTGCTAGGTGGCAACTGTAACTACTCCGTGGCATCTAGAAACCTGGTAAATATTGCTGAACAAACTTTAATTGAAACTTTGTTCAATGAGAATGTGTGGTGATCTAGTCTTATTTCCACCATCAATGTGAATTTCTCTCTGCTGCGTCAGGACCGTTGGAAATTCAAATATTTATACAGGTCCAATTTTTTGGCACTAGGATACCTAAATCATGACAAAAGAGCGTTAGCTGTTACATTCGTCTAAATAATACTAACACGTGTTACATATGTCATTTGAGTCCTTTAAATCTTACGTGTAGAGTTATTCGGTACAAATGCACCAAGCAAAGTTGGTTCTACCATATAAATCAAATGAACAGTTCAGCTGGTCATTTGGTCTGAATAACCCAATATACTTAGATTTGTGGTCGACATAGGTATATCAAAAGCATGACTGGGAGAATTTTATGAACTAATGAAAGTGAGAAATGCATACTTTGCACCGTGAAAACTTTGATACATGAACTAGTTACTTGTCAGTGCGAATGGAGAGGTGTTTTGATTAAATTAAAGGTTTTCTTTGTCTTTTACTTTATCGTGGGAAATTAGAGTAGAGAGGGCGGGCGACTTCAACTGCTTTTAGGCTTATCTGCATTTATAGAGAGAAAAAGAATGAAAAACAAAATGGACGCGCTTGCGCATTAAGGTAATTTCACCCCTTATACTTTGTTGGACTTGATGACCTATGGAGTTAACTAATTAGCTTGGGGAATTCCCTTACGACAAAATTACGATTACGGTACAGGGGCGTGTTCCTTCTTTAAAATCGCAGGATTTTCTTGTTGATTAATTTTTTCTCGAAAGCAGGAAGGAATGTAACTCACGGATCGAGTTGTTTTAACAGTACAATGAGGAAAAAGTACGAGTGGCAGGATGGTTCAGTTTATGCTTATCGGTTGACATATGTAAAAAAAATGTAAATAAGACAGTGGATATGGACATAATGTAGGAAAATACGGCTGGTGGTAACTTTGGTTTGTCATGTCTTACAAACGATAATATTCAGCAGTTATAACGGATGATATATCGATTGGCAATAAAACATAGAAAACTTACAGAAAGCATGCAGGCAAGGATCTCTTTATAGTCGAATTGATTTGTAAATGTTAAATGTGTCGACTGCTTATAGTTTTGAATCGTTTTATTGATTTAACACCTTTTTTTTAGAAGTTTATCAGTGGTGGGCAGCCGCTTTTCGCATTTGGACCAAGATATTACCCAATTCTTCACGCTTCCTTTTTGCTCTGATGTGGGTTCCCAGCTAAAAGATGATTATATATTTATGTAAGGGGCCTTTCCTAGTTTGCAAGTAAAATCATAGGATGAATTTGTCACCGAAAAATGCAACTACTTTTAATAAATATTGCTTTCAATAATTACCCTCCGCTTTAAAAACTTCAGTGCTCTTTTGTCCTTGGATACCTTGAGCAATTCCATTGCCCTCTTTTCATAAGGAGCATGCCCGGTAACTTCCCTGATCAAGTCTCTAATGAATTTACTGTGCTTCGTTAATCTCTGGAAAGAAATATAGTAATTGGGAACTATAAATTTTGAGCTCTTTTTGTTAACAAAATGTATGAAAAATTTAGTATTTGTAGATCACGTATTAAAAATATATTAGTATTACAGGTTGTTTTAGGTTGGGTTAGGTTATGTTATGTTGTCATGTTGTGACGAATATTAACTTACTCCTTTTAGTCGAGCAGGGCGAATGGTGACAGTCTTTTCCTTTTCAGATGCATTCTTGGCTACACGAATTTTCGTGGTTTTGTGACCTTTATTCAGGCCCACGGCCAGCTCGTATCTCGGTGCCATTCTGAATAATAAACACAAACTATAGGTTATGTCAATCGTATCGGGGAAATTTGTAAGATTTTAAGAATTTTCTTTTGAATATATATCACCAAAATTACTTGAATATTCTCTTTAAGAGAATTTATTATTCACTGAGTTAGTCGTTCACGGATTATTGAGATATTTTGAGATTCTATCGCACACGTACCTTCGCAAAGTGACGATACACGCTGAAAGAAAGACGTTGCGTTAATGTTTTGCGCATGAGTCGCATAAAACGAAGATGGCGGAGCTCACACTTTCGACAGTTATAGTCCGGTCATGTTGCTTGCCGTTACGACGCGTTTCTAACAAAGAAACTGGACAAATTTACACTCAAACAGAAATCCACATTTAATTCATTTGCCAATACAAAAAGTCTTAAATATAATATCTAGAATTTGTTCGGCGCTAACATGGCCCGTTATTTTTCCTAGTTCTCTCATAGAATTTCGTATTTCTTGAACGGCTAACACCATATCATATTCAGCGGTTGATGACAATTCAAAATAATTTTCAAGATGCTCTACACATTTGATTAAATGAATTCGATGTCGATTTTGACTGATTGTAGGATTTTCCCTCGATGGATTACCGCAGCTAAATAAAATATTTCAATATTTAAAATTCAAACTTTTACATTTCTTAACGTTATATTTGAACTTACATTTTTTGAAAATTATGTGTCATGGTTTCGAGAAATTCTTGGAAACCTTCCTCCTTCGCACATGAAATGACAGTTATTCTATCAGCTCTTAGTCGCTCCTTAGTTTGGTCATTCAACAAATCAGCTTTGTTCATAACGACGACACAATTTTCTGCCAATACTCCTTTCTTCAGTAACAAATCCTTTAATTCGAGATTTTCAATGTAATCCCGAACGTACTCTTCGTACGGTTTTCGACTATTGAGATAAACAGTCGCATCAGCCATTAATATGACAAAATCAGCATTGTTTGCATAAATCTTTGCTCTTCGAATTCCTTCTTGTTCGACCACATCAGTCGTTGCTTTTGCAAGACCAGCAGTGTCGGCCAGGAGAATTGGATACCCGGAAATATTTGTATTTAATTCAACAATATCTCTAGTCGTTCCAGCAATTGGCGTAACAATAGCCGCATTTCTTTGTACTAGATAATTAAGTAGACTACTCTTTCCAACGTTTGGTTCGCCAATTATAACTGTTCTTATACCATTTCGCAGTATCTCGCCCTTTCTACCATCAGACAAATGAGTCTTGATGTTTAAGGAAAGATCTCTTAAAGTTTCATTGCATCTATTGAGAACATCACTCTCGATATTATCATCCTCGCTAAAATCGATGTAAGCTTCTAGATTAGCCACAGATTGAGCCAGTGATTCTCGCCATTTTTTGTACAATTTACTAAGACTTCCATCAGCCTGCAGCAAAGCCAGTTTTCTTTGTTGTTCAGTTTCAGCATCTATCAAGTCTGCCAAACCTTCAACTTCAGTGAGATCAAGTTTATCATTGAAGAAGGCACGTCTGGTAAATTCGCCAGATTCTGCGGCTCGAAATTCCAGTTTGGCCAGTGCACTCATTAACGATTCCAATATTGCAGGTCCTCCGTGTACCTGAAACTCCACACTATCTTCTCCCGTAAATGAATTCGGTCCTGCAAATAGCAATTCTTGTCTTGCATAATTATCTTCAGACTTCAAATGGACACACTATAATGTCCATTGGAACATTTGTTTACCAGGAAACCAAAGGCACAGCCCTCGATCTATAATTTCCCCAGTTTGCGGATCAAAAATTTTTCGAAGAAATGCTTTTCTGGGTTCTGGTTTTGTAAGATTTGTCATTTTTCGCAGAGCTTCCAAAGCTTCGCCGCCCGATATCCTCACGACTGCAACTCCGCATTTTCCTTGGCCTTCAGACAATGTTTAAAATGGTTACATTCTGAAGACAAAGGATTCAGCTATTGATAATGAATAATTGGCAAGTATGCATGATTCCTTAATCTTATAAGTTTACTTTGATTACTGAAAATAATAACCAGATGATAGTGCGTAAATCGTGGAGTTTCCCATTCGACGTTCTTCATTCTCAAAGGTGACGCCAGTGATCGATCGGTGACTCAAGTGAACACTGTGCCAGGGCAATCGGCATTCACTCACGATTTTACTACAGAAAATCTGGGATAATCTCATTGTTTTGTTAATGAACGTGTTTCGTGGTGTTCAAGTTACCTATCAATTCCGTTGTTGTTTTAATTGGTATAAGAAAACGCTAGAAAAACTCGTGGAAACTATTCAGCCAGATGTCTACACGTATTTGGCCATCTTTTATGATGGCGGAAAGGTGATATATATACACACGCGCGATAATAATAAATATTTCCACGTTTAAATAATTTGATTAAAGTGATATGAGAAATCTAATTTATATTTAGTATTATTTCTACATATTTTTGTATCAGTTAAATATTATCCATATTTTCATTGATCTTTTGCGAGGCTAAATATAGTTCGCCATTTCATAACAAAAAGTGGCGGTATGTTCAAATGACTATAATTAAAATTGCTATAATACTTATAGGCATTCTTTATATTGTTTCAGATACATGTGACTGATTGAGATACTTTAAATATTTAATAAAAAAAAACAAGCTCGAAATGGCTAGTATTGAGAGAAAATTAATAACAAGTAAAGAAGTACAAGAGAGATGTAGTGACTGGGTTGAGTCACAGAAAGAACTTTTATATTCTGAGGATAATGTTTTAAAAAGAAAACGAGAAAATGAACATGACGAATATTTTGATACTGATTCAGAGTTTGATTCTGTCTCCGAATGTGGTACAAAAAGACGTAGACTGGCTAAGCAAATGAAGGATGAAGTACTGAATTTACTTTGCGAATGGAAGGATTGCCTTTTTGATAGTACCTCAATGGAAGTGTTTACAAAGCATGTTGCAAATCATATTCCACAATTAGAAATTAAGACTACCGAAGAGGACAAGGAGGTCTATGTCTGTCAATGGAAAGGTTGTTCTGGAGAAACTGCTATACCTCAAGAAATTAGCAGGCATGTTAATTATCATGCATTTCATGCAAAGCTTAAATGCATTGGCTCCAATATTAGAGGCAGAATCAAATTATCTGTAAGGAACATAATTCTATATTTAAGAACCTGCATATCCCGAATAGTAATTGTTTATTTTCATTATTTACGAAGCTGCTGTATGTTTCGTTTTCAGAAATGTTATCGTGACGCTGCATGGAAAAATGTGATTGACACGCCATCAGCACATATTTGCGAATGGGAAAATTGTCTTAAAACCTACAACAACTATCAAATATTTTTATATCATGTGACAGCTCATATTGAAGCAAATCCAAGAGGCAATAAGGTAGAAGGAGGTGTAAAATGTAAATGGTTAGGTTGTCAGAAAAGCTATCCTAATTTGTACAAGTTACGAAATCATATGAGAAGTCATACTAAAGAAAAATTAGTTGCCTGTCCAGATTGTGGTGCTACTTTTGCTTCAAATTCAAAGTTCCATGATCATTGCAGGAGACAAATACCAATTGAGGGTAAGGAAACTTTAGTGGTTATAATACAAAATTTATATTTCTATACATTCAATTCTCATCTGCAACATATTTACAGTCCAGGGCTTCCAGTGTTCTCATTGTAACAAATTTTATCCTACTGAGGGTATATTACGTAATCATATGAGGCTTCACGTATTTAATTATAAATGTACTATGTGTGACATGAGTTGCGAATCTCCAGCTAGTCTGGCAAAACATATTCGGTACAGACATGTATCGACAAGGTCCTTTCCGTGTCAATTATGCTCACATGCAGCCAAATCTCAACAAGATCTTGACTCTCATATGACTGTCCATACTAATGGACCACTTTTTGCATGCACTGTTGAGGGATGTCTTTATACATGCAAGGGAGCATATATATTAGATAGGTATGACAAATAATAATGATTAGAAATGATAGTCTTATTAATTTGTAAAAAAAATTAACAGACATATGCAACGCGTACATGATCAAGAAATCCGATGGTATTGCTGCCATGAATGTCCGATTAAATATCGAAAAAGTTACAGACTTACTAAGCACTTGATAGAGGCACATCATTTACAATGGCCAAATGGTCATAAAAGATTTCAGTATACACAGGACGAGGATGGATGCTACAGATTGCAAATGGTCAGATACGAAAGTATCGATGAGGAAAACATTTCTCCTACACAGGAATTGGCATTACCGGAGAAGAAGTATGATATTCGACTTGATGACACTACACCATACATGAAATTAGAGGTAAGGAGATTTTGTTCTTATTTTGATTAGGATTTACAGAAAAATCTTGAGCATTTCAATACTTCAAATCCATAGACGTAAATGATCCTTCTATCCCTATTTCTTTTATTCTACTTTGTATTAATAAAAAGCATACAAAGAGTGTATTATGCAGTGGGGTGGCTGGTAATTGAATGAGCATTAGTTGTATTCTTACTATTATTTGGAATCATGTATGGGTTAAGAGAATGTGGTTCTTGTTTTTTTTTATAGATTACAGAAAGAGATGATGGTACATCGAGTAGTGGAAATGGTACACTGCAATTCCAGTCACAAGACAACATAGGGAAATCTATGCCAATCATCTCCAATATCCTAATATCAATTGACGAAGTGGATGCAGAAGGGAATATAATAAAGAGTAAAGTTGTGGAGACTCAGGAGACGAAAGAATTACCACCATCGGAAGAGCCACCGATTATTTTAACATGAATATAAACCTAACCGGTTATGTTAACAGCATCTAATATATTTTTTTTACGTCACCTGCGTGTGCATCGTTTTATTATTTCTTCCTAGACTCCTCAATCGTAATAGCATTCATTTTCTATTTCTGCATAAGTCAATTTGTTTGAAGGGCTTTGGGATACGCTTGTCTCTTTGATTCCCAACAATTCCTACATGCAAAAACGGTAGCAGTGAGCCGGAGACAAGTAGGGAGATTTTAACTGGCGCACCACCTAACATTACATTCTCAAGCATCTTCAAATAATAAGTAAAATTTGATTCTTCTCTTGGCCGGATAGTAAACTTTTACAATATGGCTCATTTTCGAAAACATCTATGACAGGTGCGTTCAATCATGAGCTTAGGGCGCTGAGAACATAGTTTCTCCGTTTTTGAATGCTAGATACTTATTCGGATACATGAAGACAAAAACACTTGAACACAATCCCGGTAGTGACAACAGATTTCCTGGCACTTGGCCCTCTATGAGGGCATCAAGTCAAAACGGAATAAGAAGACGGAACAGAAAAGAATAGAAAATTCGAAAAATTTAATAACGATTTCCAAATACTATTATTGGATCTTGATTCACTTTCAAAATTTATTCACAATATAAAATTGAGGCTAAATAAAAATCTCGCCGAATATACGGTTAGATAAAAATTGAATTGAAATTGTAGAATATCGAAAATAAATTCCGTTCAAATTGAAATATTAATAAATTAGGTGTTTGGAAGATTAAAATAATTAATTGAATTAATAAAGTAAAATATTAACACATAGAAATCGGAAATTCCGGCCAAATATACTTAGAAATACTGGAAGTTGCCCAAAATTGTGTGCGCGCAACTTCGTCGCGCAGGTCTCGACGAGTGCGAGCAGGCGGATGGTGGGGGGAGCGCTCGAGGCAGCGCCGGAACTCGGATCGCTCATTCATCCTCGAGCCGGTCTCCTATACTGGTCTCTTGGAAGCATCTCTCTTATCCTCTTCCAAGCTTTTTCTTTTTCTATATTTATTTCTTCCTTACATCCTAATTTATTAATCTTTCATTCTGCACTTTCTTATTTATCTCTTTCCTCATTTCTTCTCCACTTTTATAACTCTATTCCTTACTTTTCTACTTCTTCACTTCTTTATTTCTATATCCAATTCCAACCTTCTTCTTCTTCTATATTTATTTCTTTATTAATTCCTTATTTCTTTATCTTTCATTCTTCTCATTCTTATTTATCTCTTTTCTCATTTCTTCTCCACTTTTATAACTCTACTCCTTACTTTTCTACTTCTTCACTTCTTTATTTCTATATCCATTTCCAACCTTCTTCTTCTTCTATATTTATTTCTTTATTAATTCCTTATTTCTTTATCTTTCATTCTTCTCATTCTTATTTATCTCTTTTCTCATTTCTTCTCCACTTTTATAACTCTACTCCTTACTTTTCTACTTCTTCACTTCTTTATTTCTAACTTCATTTCTGATTTCTCGTTTCACTCTGATCCGTCTCACTTTCCATTGTGATTGTCTTACTTTTCCTATATTTATTTACTTCTATACTTCCTTATTTCTTTATATTTCATTCTTTACTTTCTTATTTATCTCTTTCCTTGTTTCTTCTCTACCTTTATAACTCTATTCTTTACTTTTATACATTTTGACTTCTTTATTTCTATCTTCACTTCTGATTTCTCGTTTCACTGTGTTCCCTCTCACTTTCCATTGTGCTTGTCTTACTTTTCCTATATTTATTTCTTCTTTACTTGCTTATTTCTTTATCTTTCATTCTTCTCATTCTTATTTATCTCTTTTCTCATTTCTTCTCCACTTTTATAACTCTACTCCTTACTTTTCTACTTCTTCACTTCTTTATATCTATATCCATTTCCAACCTTCTTCTTCTTCTATATTTATTTCTTTATACTTAGAAATACTGGAAGTTGCCCAAAATTGTGTGCGCGCAACTTCGTCGCGCAGGTCTCGACGAGTGCGAGCAGGCGGATGGTGGGGGGAGCGCTCGAGGCAGCGCCGGAACTCGGATCGCTCATTCATCCTCGAGCCGGTCTCCTATACTGGTCTCTTGGAAGCATCTCTCTTATCCTCTTCCAAGCTTTTTCTTTTTCTATATTTATTTCTTCCTTACATCCTAATTTATTAATCTTTCATTCTGCACTTTCTTATTTATCTCTTTCCTCATTTCTTCTCCACTTTTATAACTCTATTCCTTACTTTTCTACTTCTTCACTTCTTTATTTCTATCTTCATTTCTGATTTCTCGTTTCACTCTGATCCGTCTCACTTTCCATTGTGATTGTCTTACTGTTCCTATATTTATTTACTTCTTTACTTCCTCATTTCTTTATATTTCATTCTATACTTTCTTATTTATCTCTTTCCTTGTTTCTTCTCTACCTTTATAACTTTATTCTTTACTTTTATACATTTTGACTTCTTTATTTCTATCTTCCCTTCTGATTTCTCGTTTCACTGTGTTACCTCTCACTTTCCATTTGCTTGTCTTACTTTTCCTGTATTTATTTCTTCTTTACTTGCTTATTTCTTTTTATTTCATTCTTTACTTTCTGATTTATCTCTTT